TTTTTTTTTTTGAGACAGGGTCTCACTGTGTAATTCAGGCTGGTCTTGAACTCACTATGTAGAGTAGGCTGTCCTCGAACTTGCAGTAATCCTCCTGCCTCAGCCTCCTGAGTGCTGAGATTATAGGCCTGTGGCACCATGCCCAGCTATTTGTCAAGTTTTTTTTTTTTTGGTACCGGGGCTCAAACTTGGGTCCTTGCGCTTTCACAGCAGGTGGCAAAACCACTGAGCTAAATCTCTGGCCCTGTCAAGTTTTAACAGTATCAGCAAACGTGGAAGTGAAGTGTCCTTTGTCCCTGCATTGTTCTCAGCTGCACTGTGTATTAGATTGTACATTCTGGGCCAGGGATTTAGCTCAGTGGTGCCACTGCCTGCCTTGCAAGCACAAGGTCCTGAGTTTCATCCCTAGTACCAAAAAAAAAAAAATAAATAAAATTGTACATTCCTCAAGGCCTTGGGCCATATACTTAATTTTATATCCTAACCATTTAGAAAGTCTCACATAAATGTTAGCTGAACTGCTAATGGTGACCCAAATAAAATGATTGTTTGGGGGGAGGTGAGATAGGGTCTTGCTATGTGGTAGTTCAGGCTGGCCTTGAACTCACTATATAGTCCAAGATGGCCTAAAATTTGTGATTGTCCTGCCTCAACCTCCCAGGTGCTGGGATTGAAAGTGCGTGTCCCCATACCTGGCTCCAAGGTTGGGACTGTGATGCATGAATTTTGAGAGGATGCAGTTCAGGCCCTAACACCTTGTATTTGTCTCTCAGTCCAATCAAATTGACAGTCAAGATTAAGCATCGCACACCCACATCTAAAAAATGTGCATGAATATTGTTTATTTAGAGAGACTATGGCTGTTCAGGTTCACTTCCTTGGACTAAGGAGTAGATGAAAGATGTACATATTTTTGTCAACTGGATTTTTTCCAGTACCAGGGATGGAATTCAGGACCTTGCACTTGTGAGGCAGGCCACTGAGCTAAATGCCTGGCCCTGTCAACTGGATTTTATAGACATGTTACACATTCTAGTGTAATGAAATCATGCCACTCCCTTTAGAATAATGCTGCTCAGGATAAATGTAATTTGAATAATCTATGCATTATAAAGATTTCTAGTACATTAAAACAGGAATGCATGAAATTAATTTTGATAGTGCATATATCCAAAACATCATTTCAGCAATTCATCATTAAATATTTTGCATCATTTTTTTTATTTTGAGACAGGGCCTCACTGTGTAGTTCAGGGTGCCCTTGAACTCACTATGTAGCCCAGGCTGGCCTTGAACTCATGGTGATTCTCCTGCCTCAGCCTCCCAAGTGCTGGGATTACAGGTGTGCACTACCATGCCTGGCGTAGATTGTTCCTTTTGTACTAGGACTGAATTTTACTCTTAAAGCATGTTGCAGTTGAGACTAGCCACATTCTGAGCAGTCAGTAGCTGCAAGTGGCTATTGGCTACTGTGTTATACAGCTTAGTCTTAGAATGTGTGTCTTCTCTCATGACCAAGGTTACCCCATCTGTGGTGTTCCAACCATTCGGTCTGATATTCCCGCCCCTCGAATTCGTCGCATCAGTGATAGAACTAATTACGGTGAAGAAGGCAATGTGTACTGCTTACTACATCCTACCATCTTTGCCCAGAAAGGAGTGTTTGAAAGAGACTTCTTCAAGACCAGATCAAAAGAAGAGGTACAGCAGCAAAGATGGAAATGCTGACGTATCAATTATTAGTTTAGACTTTAAAAAATTGTAGCTTTTATGTTATAAAAGCCCCAGGATCCCTCAAAATAGGAGTAGTGATGAGTAATGTTCAGTTTGGTTGTGACATTCTAGTACAAGTCATTTTTTGGAACAATTACTGAATAAGAATTTATTCTGAGAAAGATCTACCTCCCTGCTACCCATTACCTTTTATTTTGCTCAAGAGAAGGGATCAAGAGGGAGAGGGAGGAAAGGGATAAGGGATGAAAAAAGAAATTGGGATGTTTTATGTACATGTACCAACTCCACACAAGGAATGTTAACATTATATATTAAATACATGTACTGATAAAAAAGAATTTATTACGTGACAGGAAGCATTTCATTCGTGTTGTATATTCATGGTAGATGGTGTATTAAAAAGCAAAGTATTTTCTAAAACATTCAAACTGTTCTTAATTGGGAAAAGGGAAAAGGACCAGCCCCTGGTTTGTGTAAGTATCCTGAGGGCCTAGGGGCCTCTGAAATCACAGAGTAGGCAAAAGGAGGGCTGCTCTACCATCCTTTCTATCCAGTGATATATGTCTCAGATTACCTGAAACATTGATTAGAAATATTGTATCCTAAAAACAAATAAATGAAACATTCTGTTCTCTTGCCACACCATGTCAGGGCATGCATTTTGTTTTGTTTTGTTTCTTTTTTCTTTTTTTCAGCATTCAGGATTAAACCCAGGGCCTCATGTGTACTAGGCCAAGTGCTCTGCCATGGAGCTACATCCTCAGCCTTTTTTTATTTTAAAGTTTGAAACAGGATCTTGCTAAATGGATAGATTACCCAGGCTGGGCTCTAACTTGCGATCCTTCCGCCTCAGCCTTCTAGAATGCTGAGATTAGGGCGTGTGCCGCCATGCCTGGCTAACAACAGATTCATTTCTACTATTCACTGCCACCCAGGCAGGGGAGGGAGGAGGAGGAACTCAGAGAAGAGGCCTGGTGGCTGACCCCACTCGGGTCAGAGGAGAGACACTCCCAGACTGTTTCACTTCCCTCAGTCACTCTGAAAAGCCTGTGGGATAGGACTTCCGGGATTGCAGAACAAAACCAAGCAAACACACACACAGACTCAAACCAAAAAACAACTAACTACAAAAACCCCACAAAAATCTGCTTGTTTCATAATGCCTAGAAAGTCTGACTAGGAAGTCATCCTTTTTCTCACAGCTAGATCAAAAGGGCTCAAGGGCTGACAGTAAGTGGAGAGTGGGCAGCTTTCACTGAGGATTAGCTTTCGCAGTGCGCTGCTCGCTGCTGACCGCGCTGAGCAGTGAGCGCCTGCCGAGGAGCAGGGAGGCCGCGCGGGGTGCTGGACAGCAGTGAGGGCTCTCCGGTGTGCAGAGAAGGACAGCAGCGGTGTAAGTGTAGGTGGGTGTTGGAGTGTTTTTGTTGTATCGCTGCAGTTGCTAGCAGCTCCGCTCTTTAGAATTTCAGTATTTCATTTGTATTTGATTATACTGCCACTTGTCCACTAAGGCACGTCATTTCTAAGGCACCTTACATAGTTACTTATTTAAATTTGTTGTTTATTATTACTACACATTTGTAATACAGAAGAGTGATATTTGTTTTGGGGAATTGGCATATAACGTACCCCCCCCCCCGTACTAGGGCGTTCACACTGAGCTAGTTCACCAGCCCCCTTTTTAAAATTTGGGGGTGAAACAGGTTCTCATTAAGTAGTCCAAGCTGGGCTCAAACTTGCCGCTTTCCTGCCTCAGCCTCCCAGAGTCCTGGGATTACAGGTGTGCATCACCACATCTGGGCATATGACATACTGTGTTCATTTTCGATTCTTTTATTCCAGGAGTTTTTTTATTGTTGATATTCTGTTTAATAGACATATTCTGCAACTATTCCCTTTCTTTGGCTTTCTTATTTACTTTTTTTCTCATTTTCCTCTTTTTGTCTGTATTCTTCACAGTAAGTATATTTCTTCTTTTAAATTAAATTTCATTTGTTTTAAAAAATTTTCATTGGTATATTTTAGATATACATAATGATATCATTCATCATAGGGAATTTGTACCTTCTTGCATCTTCTTTTTTTTCCCATTCCCCTCCCCTCCCTTCAATCTTTCTTTCCCTCCTTGTTTACAAAAGCTTTGTTTCTATTTTTTCCTTCTATTCTCTTTTTTGTTCTTGTCCCTTCCTTCCTTTCCCCTTTCACCCTCCCTTGTTTCCCTTCTCATGTGAACATTTTCTTCATATTTCCCAATATCCATTATACATTTTGGTCCTTATTTACACTTTCGGTTTCTCACATCAGAGAAACAATTCAGTATTTAAACATGTATGTCTGATTTATTTCACTTAAGAGTATGGTCTCAAGCTGCATGCATTTAGCTATAAATGTCTCAAGTTTATCCTTTTTTATGGCAGCATAGTGCTCTACTGTACACAAAAACCACATCTTTATCCATTTGTTGGTTGATAGGCATTTGGGCTATTTCCAAGATTTAGCTATTACAAACTGTGCTGCTATAAACATGAGTGTGCATATATCACTGTGGTATGATGCTTTTAATTCTTTCAAGAAGAATGGGGAATAGCTGGGTCAAATGGAAGCTGTAGTTTTAGTTTTTTGAGCAATCTCCACACTGATTTCCACTGTAGTTGCACCAGAGTGCACTCACACTAACAGTGGAGAAGGGTTAATTTTTCCCCATAGCCGTGTCAGCTTTTGTTATTGGTTGATTTCTTGATAGCAGCCATTCTTTCTGGAGTGCGATGGAATCTGAGCATTGTTTTAATTTGCATCTCTCAAATGACTAGTGAGTTGAACATTTTTTCATATATTTATTTGTTTGTACTTCTTGAGAGCTTGTTTGGAGGTTTTAGCAGGGGAGCACAGTTACTCATATACCTATGAGCGAGGAAATGGTCTTCCTCTATCGGGGGTGGTCATCCTCTTCGACGGAGCGTGCAGCTTCGGGAGGGATGCACACGGAGCGGTGATGGAGGAAGGGGACACTCGCCTAGCCAGCCAGATCAGCGGAATCAACCCTGGGGATCAATGAGGTGACAGATGTTGCAGCCAGATCGCCCTCACATCCTGTTTGTACTTCTTCATCCAAGAAGTGTCTGTTCATTTCAGATGCCCATTTTTGGATTGGGTCTTTAAATTGGGGGGATTCTGATTTTTTTGAGTTCTTTATATGTTCTAGATATTAGTCCTTTGAGGAATGGCTGGCAAAAATTTTTTCCTGCACTGTGGGCTGTCTCTTCGCTGTGTTGATGGTTTCTTTTTTTGTGTAAAAGCTTTTTACTAAGGTGACATCCCAGTTGTTGATTCTTTGGTATAGTTCCTGTGTGATTGAGGGTTTGTTCATAAAGTTTTTGCCTACACCAAGGTCTTCAAGAGTTCTACCTGTTCTATCTTCCAGCAGGTCTAGTGTTTCTGTTTTAATACTTAGATCTTTGACCCATTTTTATTTGAGTTTAGTGCATGGTGATAGATATAGGTCTAGTTTTAATCTTTGGTATGTGGAAAGCCAGTTTTTCCAGGAGCATTTATTAAAGAGGCTATGCTTCTTCCAATGAGGGTGTTTGGCTCCTTTGTCAGAGATAAAGTGTGAGTGTGTTAGGAGTTTGTGGTGGATTAACTAATGGTCAACTTGGAACACCAGCTGAACTGAGTCAGCTTAGTCTGGTTGTGGAAGACTGATCTGAAAATTATTGCCAAGGCCATAGAAAGAGAATTGGAGGGGAAGATGGTTGGCTGTTGATTTTCTTGGAGAAGTTTTCTGTGGGTGATTTTCCTGGTGTGAACTTGGCTGTTCTCTCTTTGTAGGAGGAGCTGGGGTCCTCACTGTTGCTGGGAATGACTGTTCTTGTCATGGGAGCTCTGATCTTTGCCATGAGCTCCAGTGTAGATCCCTCAGCCTGGTGGTACAAATCCTTCATCCTGCCAGGGCAGACTTTCTAGCTTCCACCACTGGCCTCTGGGCCTTCCTGGTGCAGATCCTCAGTCGGATAAGCATGAGATATTGTTATGGGCTCTAGGGCCACTGGCTGGATTCATGGAGGCTATTGCCTTGGACTCTAGGCCTCAGCTGGATTTGTGTGGGACATTGCTGTGGGATCCAGGCCCTTGGCTGGATTCTCTGAGTCTCTAGTGTGGGGCTAGATCTCTTGCACTCCTCTGCATTTGACTTTATGGGTGAATATTATAAAATAATCCTATAAATTATGTGTCCTGGTGCTCACTTCGGCAGCACATATACTAAAACATTATGTGTCCTGTAGTAAATCTATTCCCTTGCAAACCCTCACCACAACAGGATTGTTTCTGCATCTTCTAATCTGCCCCATTAATCCTTGGGCCTGTTTTTTTTTTTTTTTTTTTTTTTGCCAGCACCATGCTGTTTTTTATCACAGTAGCTTTGTAATATAATTTCAAGTCAGAGATTGTGATGTCCCTTGCCTTGCCTTTGTTGCCTAGAATTTTGTTTGCTCTTCTAGGTCTCTTCTGGTTCCAAATGAATTTTAGGATTGTTTTCTCTAATTCTGTGAAGTATGCTATTGGTATTTTGATTGGGATTGCATTAAATGTCTATAAGAATTTTTGAGATATGGCCATTTTCACAATGTGGGTTCTTCCTAGTCAAGAGCAAGGGATAGCTTTCCATTTTCTGATATCCTCTTTGATTTCCTTTTACAGAGTACTGTAGTTTTCAATGTAGAAGTCTTTTACTTCTTCATTAGATTGCTTCTTAGGTATTTCATTTTTTTGGATGTTACTGTGAAAGGTATTGTTTCTCTAATTTCTCTCTCAGTGATTTTGTTATTTATGTACAGAAATGCTGTTGATTTTTGAATGTTGACTTTGTATCCAGCTGTGGTACTGAATTTGGTTATCACATATAGAAGTCTTTCAATGGAGTTTTTTGGGTCTTCTATATAGAGTATCATGTCATCGGCAAATAATGA